AGAAGGGAAATCTTGGCAGCCCCCCGAAATAAAACGCCCCATCTTCCAAGGGGTCAACATTCACAAGAGCGACTCGGAAAAACACTTGTTTAAAATTTTTGTACGACTGGGAGTAGAGAGTAAACAAACCCCCATCCCTACTCCCACTTAGAGACAATATGCCGTATGGCGGAACGCCCACCTTCAATTGATAAAAATGAAGGAAGACGGGAAGAGACACCTCTATCCCCAAAACTGTGCACAGGACTTGAAAAGCCCTCAAAAAACCCCAACTATTGGGGTGCAACTAGCAAGGAGCCGAGTTGACAAAGTTCAAAAAATCACACTCAAACTGAGTGAAGGGAAGACAGACACCTAAATCTCTAAAAAAACAATGATACATATAGAAATGGGGAGGGTCGGTAGACTTCCCCATGTACACACCCTCACCAGCCTGACAAGGTTCAAGCCGGATCATCCGGGAAATAGAAGGGTCACAAACCCTGCACGACCGCGGGATCCCGTTAACCTCAAGAAAGGACCGAAAAACGCTCTGGACCCCCAGTTCTTTTGAACTGACTCTCATTGGTGACCTTCATCTTGTCTTTGTGGCCATTGTCGGGCTTCGCTTGTGATTTTCGGCGAACCTGGTCACGGAAGGCGAAGTGTTCTTCCATTTGGATGTACCCAACAGCACGGGCACGGAGCTCGTCCATATCGCGAGGAGCTTCACGACATAGACTGTCGACGAACGGTCCGGCCTTGAGTGCCATGAGCATGGTGTGTTGGGCGACCTCGGGATTCAAATTTCGGATCTTTACCGAGATGGCGGCGAAACGTTCCATGAACATCCAGAGTGGTTCGTCGTCGCTCTGTCTGAGACTGGCTAGGGCGGCTGACGTTATGTGATGAGGTCGGCTCGTTGCATACTATGACGTGAACTATCTGACTAGGGTGCCGAAACTGTCGATCGACTCGGCAGGTAACTGGGTATACCAGTTGAGTGCAGCCCCCTTGAGCGAGGTCGAAAAAACCCTACACAGGATAGCATCCTCATTAGTGTAAAGATTTACCTGTGTGGTATACAGATCGATGTGCTCGTCCAGATCGGTCGTGCCGTCGTAATGGTCGATGTGGAGAGGCTTCCACCCGAAAGGGAGAGGTGTTTCCATGATGCCGTCCACAAAAGGATGACGGCGGGAGGTCGCCTGACTTCCCGTGACGTGGGCAGGAGCGTTGCTGACATCATGCGCTGACCTGTTCGTCGGTACGTGAGACCGATGTGTGGCAGGCCTAAGAGTCGGTGCCCTAGTCGCTGTTGGCGGTTGAGAAACCGAGTGCCCTTCCTCCTCGTGTAGGTTACTCTGTTGAGGGAGTTGATCAGAGGGACGCCGAGGAAGTTGAGCGCGAATACGCTCGTTCTCGGCGCGTAGCACCGCCAGGTCAACCTCATTAGCGGTACGCATCGCTGCTAGGTCAGTTTCGTGCTTGGCACGCATGCTTTGCAGATAAACTGTGTGTTGCTGCCGCATCTACTCGACCTGCTCGATCAGCCTTCTCAATGCTGCTTCGTTGTCCATGCTAGTTGCGTGATCTAGGTCGTCTGTTGCGCGTCTGCTATGGCTTCTGGTGAAAACCATAAGCGTGACCGATAAGAGCTGTCTTGATCAGCCCCATGGTGGGCGCCAAATGTTCTTACCGGGGATTTGATGTAGAGGTGGTCCGCTGGGTAAAATCGGTGAGCCTCCTTCACTGGTACGTTTGATGCTCCAAGATGGGGGTGGTACCTGCAAAAGAGACTCTGATGCTAAAGTTAGGGTTTGTGTGAGAATGTGTCTCGTATAAGTAATGCACGTACCTTATGTGAATTTGGGTTTCGTTGGGCCTTGGGCCCGAGATCAGTTATGACCTATTTAGATGTCGAGCTGGCGTCGCTTAGCGCGTGTCCGAGGTCACCTTGTGCTGAGATGCCGAGCTCGAGCTCGGCATGGCGGTACGGATAGTACACTATTTTTTCACAACTTCTTTGGTCCATGTCTTATCCTGAGTTTTTTGGTGCCTTATGGGAACCAAGAAAATGATGCCCTCAAAGAAACTAGGGATAAAGGGTCACCAAGAAAATCACCTTTATTTGTTAACATTAAGAGATGTTTAAGTAAAAACAAATAGAAGAAAATAAGTCAATAATATATCTTACTTTTCTCTTTACATTTAAAAACATTACCTATCAATCAATTAATTGTTGATGATTAGTTTATTTTTATAATAATTTTTTATGATATAATTATATAAATTTTATTTTAATGTTTACACAGACAAAAAATAAAATAAAATTGGTGCCATTCTAAAAATGGAACCTTAGATAGTTCTCTACCTTGACCATGCTTAGAGTTGTCACTACTTCGATCTGAGTTTATTTGGTTGTTTTCAGAAAAGTGTTAAAAAATTTTATAGACACAAATTAATCCCATGTATGTCTTTCCTTAACAATAATAATAATGCTAATATTATATTTAGTTACATTTAAAAAAAAATTATTGATTTAATGTATTTTGATTTTAAAAAAATAATGTAAGGCTAAATTATAGTAATAATTATCGATAGTGTTCAAAATTGAATGAAACTATTTAAAATCACCAGTCCAATCCAAATATAAAAATAAAAAATTCAACCAAATAAAAAATGGAAAAAAGAAAAAATCAAGAAAACACACATTTTTATTGCAATTTAATTTGATTTTCGGCTCCTTTAATTAAAATTGAATTGAACCAAACTTATGTGCTTATATATTAATTTGTAGTAGTGTATTTTGAAATTTTGATAAGAAAAATCTGTGATTATATATTGACATTTTGGTTATTTCTGCTAGGTCAGTTTCGTGCTTGGCACGCATGCTTTGCAGATAAACTGTGTGTTGCTGCCGCATCTACTCGACCTGCTCGATCAGCCTTCTCAATGCTGCTTCGTTGTCCATGCTAGTTGCGTGATCTAGGTCGTCTGTTGCGCGTCTGCTATGGCTTTTGGCATAGCTATTTCAGGTTTTTAGCGACCGATTTAGAGACTGATTTTTAAAATGTTTTTATTAAATAAATAAAAAAATTAGCGACGAAAATTGCAAACAAAAAATTCGGTCGCAAAATTGGTCTCGAGAAGTTAGGAGACCAAAATATTAGCGACGGATTTTTAATGTCTAGCGACTGATTTTTCGGTCGCTAACTTGTGACAGAAAAAATTTCGGTCGCTATTTTAAATAGCGACTAGGGTTTTAGAGACGGATTTTTTCGGTCGCTATTTCGGTCGCTGAATGTAACAGCGACTAAATTTACCTAAATAGCGACCGATTTTGGTGGTTTTTGGCCCAAATTTGCCCCAAGTTGTTGTGAATTTTTGGCCCAAATTTGCCCCCTAACTTTTGTGAGGTCCTTTACAATCCTTGAGGGTTTTTACCCCTTGTCAAGTTTTAAATCTTTGTTAATGATTTTGCAGTTTCAAGTGTAATCAACCTTGACTCTCTTTCATTATTTTCTTTTTGGTCTCCTTTATGAGGGTCCTTGTCACCAAGGGAATAAAAATGAGAGTGATTGGTGTCAACCTTATCCTTGTTCTTGGCTCTTGGGAAACATTTCATCTTGGACTGTTGTGGTTTTCTTGGACCGTTCTTGGCCAACATCCATGGCTCATAAATCTCATCTTGCCTTGGATGAGATAGTATCTGTGTTGCACTTTCCTTCTTAGGTACATTTGGTTTAAGCCTCACATTTGTTTGATTTGGTTGGGGTTGGTTATTTTGTATCTCCATGTCCACATGTTCTTCACCTACTTGATTCTTCTTTGGCTTTCCAATAATTTGATCTTTGACACATTAGGACTACTTGTGTCCATATCTTCTGCAACGAAAATAGATGGAGTGTAATCCTTCATACTTAAGCTTTAGAATAAGCCCAATACAATAATTTGTGAGACTAATTTTTTATTCAAGTTTACTTTCACACATATGCACGCATAATTCCCTTTAGAGTGAATAGAGGTCAGATTGTCAACCTTTAGCATAGACCCCAATTGTTCATAGGAAGGAATCCCTGTAAAGCTTAATATGAAGACTCGATATATGGATTTACACATTGATTTTTTGAACCTATTTCTCCAACATAGTAAATAAGGGATGCCATCTTTGCACCATTATGTAATGATCAACCAACAACCATGACCTTTTGAAGAGTCACTACAAAAAAACTAAATAAATATGGCGGTTTTAATATGGCAGGTTCAAGAAAATGCCACTATTTACTTTATAATACGACAGTTATAAAACTGCCATTATTTTCATTCAAAATATGGCATTTATAACTGCCAGTATTTTAATGACAAAAATGTATGTAAAATATGACATTGTTATATTTTTAAAGATGCCATTATTATTTGCCTCTAAACTAAACTTTATTTTCTCTCAGATTTAACTTAATGAAATTCGAAATTTGAATTCCCATTTTTTGTCTAATATTATTAAGTAGATATTAATTTTATTAATTATTTAAAAAATTCATTAAGAAATTTTAAAAACTTTAAACTATAAATTAAATTGAATCTTAATTAATTAGAAGTATTAATACTTTGTTGGAAGAACATTAATATTCCTTGTAAATAATAGCTGATTGCACTAAAAAATGTTAAATAAGGGAGGTTATTTTGTAGAAATTTTTAAAAAATTTCTATAAATTATTAAAAATTTAATAATTTGGTTTAACATTGCAAAATGTGTTGAAAAGTGCAATTTTTTTACTTAATCTATAGAGGATTATGACCTTTTCTAATTAAAATTTTTATTTTCCCGCTTAAATTATTTTTTTTCCTCTTTAAAATTGAAAAAATTAGAGTAAATTAATTTTTCCCTCTCAAATTTCTACCAAAAAAATCTGAAAATCATTCACTTCCCTTTCTGTCTCTCGTACATTTCCAAAAAGAAACCTAATTGCTTGAGTTCTCTCTCCTTACAAAAATCTCAAAACCCTCCGTTTATCTGTCGCCGTCGCATTGTGCTCTTTCGAGTTGTTGTTGCTGCCATGCTTCCTCGTCATTGTGCTTCCTTGTCGTCCTGCTCTTCTGAGTTATAGGTTAGTCTGTGTGTGTATGTTTTATTTTACCTGGAAGGTCCCACGGGTCGTATTTATAGAGGTCGATTTCGGTGATGATGGGAACGACAATTTGGTGGGAGGCACATTTTGGGCAGAGGTAGTGGAGGACGTGTTCTTCGTCGGTGGGGTGGAAGCGGAAACCGGGGGGAAGTGGAGGTGCGGTGCGGTTGCGGTTGCGGTTGCGGCCATTGTTGTGTTCGTGGCGGCGTTTGAAAGTTGGAGCGTGAGGGAGAGAGGGGGTTTTATAGGGTATGGTTTGGGTGACGAGGATGGACACGTGTGGGAATTGAAAGTGTGGTGCGTGCGTGTCCAGAACCCACACGAAGCGGTATAGTCACTGCTTAAGACATTGCTTTTGGACTCTGGCGCCGTGTCTGTCGGTCCGGACCTACCGCTTTGTTTTTCGTAGGGCATGCACTCGCCGCTCCCATTTATTCTTTTTCAAATCCTACGCTGCAAAACAATAATTATATAATTATTTAATATTATTTATTTTTTATATTTTTTATTATTATTAATACTATCTCTATGTTCTATTTCGTAACCCTTATTCTCACTGCTTGATCCTTGTCCCCCTTATAGGTGAAACTACAGCAGCTACAACAGAACAAAGACTTGTCTGTGCTTATTGCTTTGGTTAGTATTTCTGCCAAAGCTTCTTGGTTCTTGAAGCATAGTTGGTAAAAATATTCTTGAAATTGGTTTTGCATACTAAATAGATTGATGTGAGTTTTATCAATAGGAACAGTGGTGCCAGTTTTAGGAAGTCCCCTTGTACATGTCGAAAGGAATTTGTTCTTTTGTCTTGGAAAAGATTTTTTTTTATCTGCCAGTTTGTGACTTTAATTATAAGCAGCTTTAGCTGCTATATATAGTGTCCTGTGTGACCCTCTTTTTGATAAAATTTTGACCGAAACATTCAAACATAAGATTAAAAAGCAAATAATGGAGAAGCTACTATATATTAATTTACCTTAATAATTCAGACATTATACTTTACACTTTGTAGTTACATGATTTTGCTTGTATATTTGTTCCAAAGGTTGTTTACATGTTACGTGTTTCTTGGAAAATATGTAGAAATTAGTGTTAAATGATTTCTGTTTATTTGGTTCATATTGTTAAATGTTGAATTTCTTAGTAGTGATGGTAAAGGTTTTTTTTTTTTTGTGCTCATACTTGGACGATGCAATGGTTAGTTAATTTCACCAGCTAGGCTTACAGTATTTATTAGTTGAGTTATATTGATGGTCATTGTTGTTTTATTTGTGTTGTGTATGTTTATGCAGGAGAAAATTGATGAACTATTGATGCAAAACCCAGAAATTGCATCTGATATTTCTCCAAATGATCTAATTGGTGTCATATTTGGTAAAGAGCATCCATGTCGTGTTAGAGGATTATCATTGGGAGCTTGTCCTACCCTTGCTTTTAAGCATACCACCACAAGGCTAAGTGGTGTCACCTTTGGTTCAACTAGTGCAAGTGCAGAAAATATGGAAGAAAAGTTTGCAGATATGCAAAATGAACTTGCAACTGTTAAATCTCAAATGCAAACACTTCTTTCTTATATTGCTAGAGGATGCAACATACCTGAAGATTTGGCTGCTATGGCTGCTGGCTTAGTTCATACTTCTGTTAATCAAGTATGTAATTAAATAGTTGAAAATGATTGAGTTAAGAAATGTGCATATGTTGTCTTAGTTTTATTGTATTACGTGATTGAAATTATTTATATAAAACTATTTTTATTTATTTCAGGCATCAGATGTTGGAAGTGGTGCTCCATCACCAAACAACATAAGAGGATCATCAAGAGGAAGCAATGGTGATAATGAGGGTAGCCAAAGGAAGGCTAGTTAGGCACATTAGTATATTAGAAAATGTTACTTTAGTTTATGTAATGAATCTAAAACTTATGAAGTATTTTGACTCTATTTGATATAACTATTTATATTTTCCCTAGTACAAGTAATGAATGAACCAACTTTATGTTTTGTATTTTGTTATTACAAGTTAAAGTATATTGAATGAACTTGGTTGGTTGAATTTTTTAAGAGTTGTTGATTACTTCGATTTCACATGATATTTTAAATATACAGGTGTTTTTAATATTTAAAATATTTAATTAAAAATTCAATTTTTATAAATAATTATGATGAAAAAAAAATATTTATTTGAAAATTACGACAGTTAGAAGTGTCATACTTTTATGTACAAATTGTTAAAATAATGGTAGTTTGGTCACGCCATATTATTATGGAAATAATGGCGCTCAAAATTGTCATTATTAACCTATCATGTCCCTAATAGGAGGCAACCCAGGCACCTCATCAAGGAACATCTCAGTAAAAATATCTCACCACATCAATCTCAGCAATGACCCTCTCGGTCTCCACACTCATAGCAGCAAGCAGAAGATAACACTCTGCTTCGTCCCTCAACAACGATTCAGCTTGACCAGCTGAATCAACAGCTCCTCCTCTAGCAGTAAGCATATGGTGAGTACCTCTCCACCAATGCTCAGCCTCCCCAACCAGCATGTAGACATCATATGCCATCCTCCTCTCTTGAGAACATTCCAAAACAATGAAGATCTTCTCTAGCTCACAGATCCAGTGGTCAACTACCCCTGGGTCTACATCTCCCTTGAACTGTGGAGGATGACATTTCCAGAACTCAGCTAGGTTCCGGCTCTCCTGTGACCCAACTGGTCTTGCTGCACTAGCTGCAGCTCTATCATCATCCATCCTAGCAAAATAAGCATTTTGTTGCTGCATAGCCATAGCCATCATCTCTATGGCACGTGCTATCAGCTCATTGGTTATAGTCATTGTCTACAGAAGTAACAATATCTTCAGTATACAATAACTAAACCAAACAACCATCAACAACACAACAATCAATGAAGAAATCAACACAACAAAACAACACAACAAAGCAACACAACACAGAATTCAGCACAACAAAAGCCTAAAGGAACCACCCCCACAGAGTGTCCACTAGACTCGAACTGCTCTGATACCACTAAAGTGTAACGACCCGACTGGCCACTACACTCACAACCACAGCGCACCGAAGCACCCCGCCTGGTTTGAGCACATATGATAGAGTCACCCTGTAGATATAGGTTGCTGAGGAGTTGAACCCAAGGCTTCTGTGAAGCCGTAAGCAGATCCCAAACTAACTTCCCAAGGAGTGACACATTCACGCTGCGCGCCTCCCTAACACCAAGACCACCGAACTTTGTGGGTTGAGTAACAACATCCCAACTCACTGGAGACCAAAACCGTGTGTTGTCAGATTTTGCCCAGAGCATACGGCGACAAGCCTGATTAATTCTATTACACACTGCTTGAGGAAGCCATAATGTTTGCATGCTATAAACTGGAATAGAAGAGATGGTGGACTTCACCAGACACAACTTCCCTGCCTTATTAAGCAGCTTGGACTTCCAAGCCGCAAGTCTACCCTGAATCTTATCCATCACATCATAAAAATCTGCACACCTCGGCTGACCCTGAGTCATGGGAACCCCCAAATACTTCCCTATTCGAGTCGTGTGGCCAATCCCAAGCCAACCCTCCAGTATATCGATCCTCCTCTGTGAAACCCTTCTAGAGCTTACAAACTTAGACTTAGACAAATTGACCCTCAAGCCTGATGATCTCGAAAACTCCTCCAAGATTGACGCCACCAATCGAGCTTGATCCTCTGAAGCTTGACAAAACAGTAAAATATCATCAGCAAAGAAAATGTGTGAAAGCGGGAGCCCCCCAGGGGAGAGCTGAATCGGTTTCCAGTGACCCTTCTGAAGCAACTCAGAGATCCTAAGGGCTAGTCGCTCCATGCAAAAAATAAACAGATACGGAGATAACGGGTCTCCCTGCCGAAGGCCACGAGACGGAACAAAGGATGGTAACTTGCTTCCATTCCAAAGGAGTGAAATTGACGAATTCTTCAACCCCCACATGATAAGTTGGATGGTGATTGACGGAAACCCAAACCGCACCAGCGTAGACTCCAAACAATCCCACCTGACCCTGTCATATGCTTTTTCAAGGTGAATTTTAAAAGCCAAGGAGCCCACACCTGAGCCCTCCTTCCCTACGAAATGGAAGGCTTCTTGAGCGATAATATTGTGGTCAGGAGTCCCCCTCCCGGGAATAAAACTGCCCTGGAAAGGACCAATGACGTCCTGCAGGAAGGGTCTAAGACGAGCCACAAGCACTTTAGAAATAACCTTCCAAGCAACGTTACATAAGCTTATAGGACGAAATTCTTTGAGGCTAACCGGATGGTCCACCTTCGGAATCAACACCATCTGTGTTTCCAAGAGTGAAATGTCCGAAAACCCCAATCGAAAGGCATCCTTCACTGTACGCCATAGCTCATCACCCACAATAGGCCAATACTGTTTGAAAAAGAACGGTTGAAATCCATCCGACCCTGGTGCCTTGAACGACTTCATGCTCATCACCGCCCGACGAACCTCCTCCTTCGTGACTGGGGCCGTTAAGGCAGATTGGGCCTCAGCCCCCAGGCCAGGTGGAACCCCAGCTCTCATGTCTAGAGACCCTTATTCGTTGTCAACCGAGAAAAGTTCTTTATAGAACCTGACTGCCTCAGTTTTCATTACCACAGGATCTGTGTGCCAAGACCCATCTGATAGAAATAACCCCTGTATTTTGTTCCTCCGTCTTCGCGCGAGAGTTTGAGCATGGAAGAATGACGTATTGCGCTCCCCAAACCTCACCCACTTCTCTCTAGATTTCTGAAACCATAAATACTCCTCCTGAAGACAAGTTTCGTTCAACTCTGCTTGTATAGCCTTTTCTAAGCGCGACAGGCTCTCTGAATCCCCTCTCTCGAGTTGTAGTTGTACCCCTTTGAGACGTCGTTGGAGAGCCTTCTTTCTAGTAGTGATGTTACCAAACACGTCCTTATTAAACTTGATGGCATCTACTCGAACAGCTTGTAGCCCATTAGCAAGGGTCGGCGTACAACATAAGAGGATCATCAAGAGGAAGCAATGGTGATAATGAGGGTAGCCAAAGGAAGGCTAGTTAGGCACATTAGTATATTAGAAAATGTTACTTTAGTTTATGTAATGAATCTAAAACTTATGAAGTACTTTGACTCTATTTGATATAACTATTTATATTTTCCCTAGTACAAGTAATGAATGAACCAACTTTATGTTTTGTATTTTGTTATTACAAGTTAAAGTATATTGAATGAACTTGGTTGGTTGAATTTTTTAAGAGTTGTTGATTACTTCGATTTCACATGATATTTTAAATATACAGGTGTTTTTAATATTTAAAATATTTAATTCAAAATTCAATTTTTATAAATAATTATGATGAAAAAAAATATTTATTTGAAAATTACGACAGTTAGAAGTGTCATACTTTTATGTACAAATTGTTAAAATAATGGCAGTTTGTCACGCCATATTATTATGGAAATAATGGCGCTCAAAATTGTCATTATTAACCTATCTAATTATTTTTATTGTGTAATTTACGACATTTTAGACTGTCATTATTTACAGTCTAAACCGTTGCTTTATACAATGTATTAAATGGCGGGTGTTGTGACGGTGCGCTTCTAACCGTCGTTTTTTACTCTGTGGCGGCAGAAATTATGGCGCTACACGGAACCGCCACACATGTATATATTGACGGTCATAAATGTCATTATTTACAATTACAACTGCCATTATTAACGCGTTTTTTTGTAGTGAGTGCATGGCGATAATCTTCAACATCTAAGAATTGCACCAAGTAATAGTCTTGAGGAATATCAATGATCTGGAAAGTACTTTTAGTCACTTAGTCTCTTTTTATTTTGTTTTCAATCATCTTGAATCCCACTTTCTTTCCTAAAACATTCATAATCAGGGAGTTCTTCTATGGTGCACACCATTCTTATAATTCTTCCTCACTAACATCAATCTTTGGACATGGGTCCAATTCTTCTATGCTTTCTTGAAGATGTTCTTCAATAGAATCACTCTTCAAGTAGAATAAATTTCTTCACGTAGTCTTTGAAGTTCTTTGAATTTTCTTGGCTTTCTTCCATTAAATTTTCTTTGTAGGATATCATTGCAATCGAAATAGGAGATTGAAAAATGCCTCCATCATTTGTATCACCTCCATCATTCATATAAGCATCTTCATGTCTTTCCTCTTCTCTCAGCTTGAACTTTTTTGTGCTATGAACGAGGAGGTCATCTTCTTCTTTAGATATTGAGTCGAAAATCCTAGCCGATCATGCAATTTTTGTTCTCAAAGTACATATATGCATATAGTCATTTATTGCACTTGATTTATTGCAAAGTTAATTGTGCACTTACATATACATATTTTTCTTTTTTTATGAACACTTTAAATTCTTGCTTTACTAAAATAAAATAAATAGCCTATTAATTGTAAAGTGTATAATGAGGTGTAGTTTTCTTTGCATAAAGTCCTTATTGAAATTGGTTCTTAATAAGAAAAAACAAACAATTAAGAGATACTCTTAAAGTGATTATGTCACTAAATAATCGTATATATATTTAAATTATTTTACAATACTTTTTTTTAATTCACTTCTATTTTAAATGATTTATGATTTGAGGTATGGACTAATTTACACATTATACACAATCATTATTAAGAAAAATTAGTCTCAGCCTATACTTGTGAAATATTTGGCATGTGTATGTAATGTGTACATACCAATATGAATTTAATGGTGATAAAAGGTGTAAAATAGTTATACCATTATCCACTTACAATTTATATAAATAATAAAATTATATAAATCATAATTTCTATTTAATTTTTTAATTATTATAATTTTTTTTACAACATTAATATACGATGATGATCCACAAAAGTGACATGTCAATTCAATTATAGCAAGCCAATAGCTGTCACATTGGAACACCATAAAGCATGCCACGTTTTGGTGGGTGTCACATGTCCAATTACTATCACATCTCTTCCCTCACATAACTATTTTACAATCTATATTAAAAAAAAAATAACTCTAATAAGGTTTTCTTTTTTCAAAAATAATGTTATTTTGTTTTATCTGTCCTCCCTTTTCTTTTTCAGGATAAAAAGATTACAATTTCTGAATTCAACGTTATGTTTAATGGCCGTGATTTCTCTTAATAAAGTTTAAAAATGGTTTTATGTATACGGTGAAATAATATTATTTTAAAATAAATATAAAATATTTTATCAAAAAGAATAATATAAATATAATTATAAAAATGATAACATTTAATTTACAATATGTTTTCCTTATTTTTTTTCTTACGATTAGACTCGTTAAATACAAAAGATATTTAAAATAAAATAAACAAATTCTTATTCATTAAGATTGGTCTAGTTGCAAAAGAGTTTAGAAATTCACATAAAATTTTACGTTCTTACATGACCATTGTGAGACCCTCTCTCTTTTCTATTCCTTTTCCAAAAACTCAAGAACCATCACTCTAAATTCTCTCTTTTCTTTGCTGGTTGTTGGTCTCAAGTTTCTCTAAGACTCTCTCTTTCACTCTTTGCTTGAACTCAAGGTGGTGTTGCTGAGTAGTGGGGTGTGCTAGCTGGTGTTGGGTTCCCCTTCTCCTTTCTCCTTCATTCAAGCTCACTTGTTCTCTCTTCTTCTCCGTTCAAGCTTCCTGGAGCTCGGAATCTTCACCCGAGGTAAGGGAAGCTAGTCATTCTGTTGTATTTGGCTGTGGACGAGTTCAGAAGCTCATTTGTTAATTGATGATTTCTGGATTTCTGAGTTAAGATTGCTGAAAATGGGTTTTTGGGAGGGTTTTGGAGTTGAATAAATTTTTGGGGTTTTTGATGATTTCGTGATTGCATGTCGAAAATGTATCATTTTTATTGATGTTTGATGAAAGAGGAAGAGAGTTTTCTGGTTATTTTGCAGGTTTTTGATGAGATTTTCAAAAGTCTGAGTTGCTGTTGAATTCGCGTTGGGCGTAGTTCTTCGCGCCGAGTGCGTGGCCACCTGAGGGCAGTATTTAGGCAAGCTGCCGGGCGCAAAGATGTGTGCGTCGGGCGTGCTTGAAAATATTCGCCTTTGGATGGCCCACGCCGGGCGAGGATTGAATTGCGCTGGGCGCGATGTCAGTTGCAACTTGGTTTTGAGTTTCTGGCTTGGCGCTGAGCGCGATTTTGGCTGCGCTGGGCGCGGAGGGCTCCTTGGAGTCTCTGCCAGGGGAGACGCCGAGCGCAATTTAGAATTGTGTTGGGCGCGAGACCAAGGGAGGTCTCTGCCTGTCCCACGCTAGGCGTGAGTTGGGCACGCTGGTTGGCGCTGAGCGCGATTTTGGCTGCGCTGGGCGCGAAGGGCTCCTTGGAGTCTTTGCCAGGGGAGACGCCGAGCGCAATTTAGAATTGCGCTGGGGGCGAGACCAAGGGAGGTCTCTGCCTCTCCCATGCTAGGCGTGAGTTGGGCACGCTGGGCGCGAGAGACTCCTTGGAGTCTCTGTCTGGCCTGCGCTGGGAGCAATTATTTATTGCGCCAAGCGCGTAAGAGCGTTGGGCTCTCTATTTGAGTTCCGCCGGGCGCGGGCATACTTGCGTCGGGCGCTGTGGCCCCTGGTGCCCTTTTTGTTGAACTACGCTGGGCGCAACTTTGAGTGCGCCGGGCGCATAGATGATAATTCATTATGTACCGAGTTGAATTAGAATGGATGAATATGGTGTGATGACGAGTAAATAATATTGTTGTTGATGTTGAGTTGCATTAGTTGTATTTTAATTGAAAGTTGATATGTTGAGTTGTATTAGTTGTGCGTTGTTGAAAGTCGATATGTTGAGTTGTACAGTTATGATGAAATGTGTGATGATATTGGATGATGTAGGCCACAAGGCTGAGGTGTTGTAGGCCGAAAGGCTGAGGTATTGTAGGCCGAAAGGCTGAGGTGTGTAGGCCGAAAGGCTGAGTTGTGGTAGGAGATCTCCGAGGTGATATGTGTGACGACGCATTGTGTGTGTATTGATGATTCGTGTTGTAAAACCGACAGGATGTTTATTGGTGAATTGTGGATGATTGTAATTGTTGTTATCGCTTAAAATTTCCTTATATGTTGTTCTTTGTATGCTAGCTTACCCTTTTTGTTGTTTCCATGTGGTTGGACTGCAATGATCATACTATGTATGGGAGCAGAGCAGGGATAGGTGGTGCATCTGTAGCTGGTTAGTGGAGCTGACTCCTTCTGGTGTTTTGTTTGTTTTAGTCACTTGGCATAGTGGCTTTTGATGTAAACCTTGTATTGTACACCCTAACTCTAGTCAGACTCGGGACATTTGTATATACTTATATTCTAAACTCTATATTTATATACTTTTTCTATTCTGTCTAGCGTTTTCGGTGTGTTATGGTTGTGGGAGTAGTGGCCAGCCGGGTCGTTACAGAAGAGAATGGAGATAACTATGATCCCATATATTTGTCAGATATTGAATCCGATGATGAATGGATCACCGAAAAGGAGAATCCTTGCTTGCCTATTGATGCCTCATGGATGGATGTACATGAGTGCTTTGGTGTTGATAAGGGAGCTCCAAAGAAGAAAAGAAAGAGAGGTAATTATTTATATTTAAAAGTTAGTTTAGAACTTGGAAGTTAGAATTAGAACTAGACCTTATTATTTTCTTATTTCTTTTGATTACATAGGTCCAAGAAACTTGAATGCCAAGATTGGTAAGGGAAAATCAATAATAGAAGATGAGGATGAAATTGAAGATAATGAAGAAGAAGAACTTTTGATATTAGAAGATGAAGATGACTTGAGTGATGTAGATCTTGGGGTTGGGGATGATGAATGATCTTGGATAGGGGCATTTTGTATAGATTTTTTGAGGCCATATGACTGAATTTGTGTGGCAGAATTTGTGTGGCAGTAGCACCACTTGTTGCTGAGTTTATGCTGCAACAACACTAATATTTTTTTTGGGTAGCTATATTGCTGAATTAGAGTAGCAAACAGTCCCTGGTATATGCATATATTTAGCAATAACAATGGTTTTTTTTGGAGGCTATGTTGTTGAACTGTGCAGTCATTTCTTTTGGCTTTGAGACTGTTTTTATTTGTATAATTGTATCTTTGTTTGTATTGAAGTTTATATGTTACTAATTACTATATATTTATGTATGACTTCATTTTTATATGTCTTGTATGCATATATATACGTTATGTTTTTATTGATCATGAATCTTACGATTCACGATACGATTCGATTCACGATTCAAAAATAAGCCTTCCGATGCATTATTTGTATCTCGATTCAACTACCATGGGTTAAAGTTTACTAAAATTTTCTTTTTCTTTTTGTCCAAACTATAATTCTGACGTAAAATATCGGCTAAAAAGGTGATGCTTCACATCATTTAGAAAGAGATGAATGAATATACACAAAAGTATGTCTTAGGATATTCATAAACTTGTCGAATCTAACATAAATTGTAAAAAAATGAGCTGAGAAAACAAAATTGTACATATGAAAAATAAAAATATTTTTTAGTTTGATTGATTTGTGTTTTAAATTTAAATTTAAATTTAAATTCTAATATAATCTGATTTAAATTAAACTCAATACATATAATTTTATTTGTAACAATAATGGATCATGTATTTTTATACCTAATGTTTGTATAAAATTATAATAATAGTTTTTTTTTATAACTAAATTAGGTGTCTTTATTTTTAAACTAACACATTAACCTGTGCACTCGCACGAGTCACAATGATCTTTATACACGTATCAAATTGGACAGTAAATGTAATAAAAAAGTTATTATATATCAAATAATATGGGTATATTTTTAATACAATTATATTTATATGCTACTTCAAGCAAATAAGATATTCAAATTATAGGTCAACTATGCATGTATATTGAATAGATGTGAGTTCAATGTTATGAACATTTTTTGTTTGTATCAAAATGCTTCCTATGGGTTTTTGTAGCGAGTTATTTAATAAGAAGGTCATATCTCTTTTTAAATTAATAGAGTAGTTATTAAATTGGATATGTTTTTTTTTTAAAAATAATATATATATATATAT